GAATTACAAAGAGGAAGATGATCAATGTAACCAGATGCTCCCTCCTACCTTTAATGCTTCTCTACACACACACACACACACACACACACACACACACACACACACACACACACACACACACACACACACACACACGGACATAAAGCAAGAGACGTCCAAAGACTCAATGCAAAACAACCTGAAGTAAAGCCAAGGCCAACAACAGACGCAGAAAAATAACAGAAAACGCAGCAGTTTCAGGGAAAACGACCAAAATTAAGTGAAATCCCAGACCCATCACCATTCTCTGGCCGACGGTGGTAGACATAGCTAGTGAATGTAAACAAGGGGCTTCGTTATCAGAGCAGGGCACTGTAAGAGATGAACAAACGAGTCTAATAACTAGCGAGGGGACTTTACAGCTTAACGAGAGGCTAACTAGAGGAGGATTAGCTATACTCGTATTGAAGAACAGAAGACAGTCGCAATAATAAGCGTCGCGGTAGTTATTGATACACATTTAACGTGACGATTCATGTCTACACTTACAATAACAAAGTAGTTGGAGACCAATAACACAATCGTAAATACCAATGTAAACGTTGTAACACACACACACACACACACACACACACACACACACGCACACATACACACACACACACACACACACACACACACACACAAAATTAAAGCCGACGAGGACGGGATAAACAACTTAAAATTGACTCGTCCTATATCACATTCGCGACATACATTGACTGTCTTGGTTTATATGAATCAAGAAAAACTGTCAACTTGTAATATTATTATGTGTGAAATCAAGAGAAAATCAACACTCAAAGGATATCCATTGATGACCAAGAGTAATTATCTAAACCCAATAACTTGATGATGTGGATAATAATTTCCCTGGAGAGTTATTATCACTTGGCCTTTGAGTCAACGTCATTATCTTAGTGTTCATTAATCATTACGTGTGACAAGTGACTTTCATAAGAGCATGCAACACAATATCTATCAGTCATTTAATATATATTTTTTTTCAACTAATAAATTACTCAAGAATGGAACTCTTAGCAGCATTATCATCTTGAATGATTTAAAGAGACCATGAAAAAAATAAATAATCAACGTAAAAATGAAATAACTTGGAAAAGCTTTACCATGGAGGAGCAAAATTTTTTTACAACAAACGTAAAAGAAAAAGATAAAGGGAAAGATAAAAGCCTGCCATTACTGATGTATATTTATAAGAGTAAAAAAAAGACTTAGAGTAAAAGAATATAACTAGAAGTATCCTCACCACAATGACCACAAGAGGTGAAACAAAGTTAATTCAGACATCGTGAGATTTAATGAAATTCACAAATGCAGGAAACTTGACAGATGAAAGAGGTGCTTCAGGAACACTTGTGGGGACGCTCCTCCTGAGCACTGAGGAACACTGAGGAACACTGAGGAACACTGAGGATCACTGAGGAACACTGAGGATCACGGAGGATCACTGAGGAACACTGAGGATCACGGAGGATCACTGAGGATCTACACAAAGTGATATTTAGGGAAAAACTGACGAGAAAGCTTCAAAGGGACAGGAATAAGAAGAAAACAAATATGTAAAATGTGTTAGAAACGTAGGGTATTCTGAACTAAACTTTCACCAGTGTCACACACATGTAGCGTTTAAGGAAAGTGTTTATATTACATTGCTTAGGAGAGGTTAAATATTATATGTATGTATGTATGTACGTATGTATGTATGTATGTATGTATGTATGTATGTATGTATGTATGTATGTATGTATGTATGTATGTATGTATGTATGTATGTATGTATGTATGTATGTATGTATGTATGTATGTATGTATGTTGGGATACAGACGTTCTTACAGTTGTTTGCAGCCTCACTTAATATTTCACACGTTTAGTTGTACATTACGTCTTGGACAAGTTTGGTTTTCGTTTTAGCCTATAATTCATTGCAGAGTATTTACATAATATCATACATGGAGTAAATAAGTATACTCAAAAAGTTGGAAGAAATAATTTTAAACAAATATTCACTCTGTCTTCATTATTCCTAAATACATTTCGCTCACCATATACCAGCACCCCCTTATAATTATATTGGTTAGCTCTAATACACACATACGCACTAATGCTCATACTAGCACTTTCTATACTCATATTGAAACCTCTATACTCACATCCTTGACCACCGTAGGGTCGAGACCTATTCAGGCGCTGCTCCTGCTCCCCCCCTTGGCCAATGTTCGGCCCATTCCCCAAGTCCCTCTCCCGGACCCACCCTCACCACCGGGAACATCAACATAATCAAAAGCGGCAATTTTGTTTCGGAAAGAAGTGGGATCAGTGTTGAACAGTGATGAACAGTGTTTAAGCCAGTGATTCAGCACAAGACAGTACCAGTGAGAGCCATGACCCACCAGTGGGATAAGCACCCCTGGGAACTGACCGCCCTCTTCTGAGCAGGTGCTAATCTGTCCACCCTGGGAACAACAGAGGGCCGGCCGGTTGTGCACCTGACTACGAGATAACACAACACCACCCAGCAGGGCGAGTTACTGTGACACCACCCCACACCACCCGGTGTCCCCATGACCACGTGAGGTCCTTCATATCAACACCCGAGGACGAGTTGCACCACTGCACCACGTAGACACACCACACCACCCGGTGTCCCCATGACCACGTGAGGTCCTTCATATCAACACCCGAGGACGAGTTACTGCACCACGTGAACACCACACCACCTGGTGTCTCCATGACCAGCCCAGGCCCGGGCCATCAGCTGTAAACTATAATAATTTGTATGTTCAATCGTTGTTCCTTCTCCTTTCAGTAATGAAAGCTTTTGTTAAACGACCCAACCACCCCATGTCTTTGTATGTAATAAGTCATTTTTGTCCAATGTATATTTTCAGCCTTCGGGCTGCTGAACTTTTTCTATAAACCGTTAATTGTTATTATTATTTATTATTACGAGCATTAATAGCCATCTTACACTTCCTACACTCATACTGACACCTGTATAGTATACTTACACTAGCACCAGTAGCCATATTAACACTTCCTACACTCATCCTAACACTACCTTTACCATGCTTACAATACTCGCAAGACTCGGTACAGAAGGCAGGTGGCAGTAATCAATACACTGGCTCTGGTAATGAGAATAATTGCGCTATCGGAAAATGGTTAGAGAAATGAAAGTTGAAATATTTTCTCCTATGATGCTTTAAGTGAATAATATGTCCTTCGTTAGCTTCAGGAATCGTTGGTTGTATTTTCCAATCAAAATTTTTACAGGTATTGCTAAATAATGGAATTAACGTGGGTTGCAATTGGTGGAAAGAGGGAAGGTGTGTGTGTGTGTGTGTGTGTGTGTGTGTTGCCCCAAAACGGCGAAGGCAGCAAGGCTCCAGAAGAAGTTTTAATACGGGACTACACTCTCTAACGTTGCCCACTTTCGGTATCTCGGCTTCCACCTGTCCACCAACACAGACATCGATGAAGAAATTCAGCATCGGATCAGATGTACATCTCACGCCTTGGGTGGACTCCGAAATCGTGTCCTCAGTTGCATGTATATCAAGCAGTGGTCCTGCCCACCCTGCTATATGGTAGTGAGATATAGGACACATACAGGAGGCACCTCAAGGCACTTGAAAACTTCACCAACGTAGTCTACGTTCCATCCTTCGAATTCGCTGGGAAGACAAGAGAACAAATGCCAGTATTCTTGCTGACCCCAACTGTAGAGCATCGAGGCTACGTTGGACTGGCCATGTTACCCTCATGGACGACAGTAGACTGCCAAAGCAACTACTTTACAGTCACCTAACGAATAGTAAACGTAACGCTGGCGGGCAATTGAAAAGGTATAAGGATAGTCTTAAGACAAACCTGAAAAAGGTGCCAAATCGACCCCCTTACCTGGGAGTCGATTACTCCACATCGTAACTCTTGGAGGAGCGTCACACGAGAAGGTGTCAATACTTTCGAGTTAGCCCGACTGCAAAACGTGGCAGATAAGCGCCAACGTCGGAAAGATGGAGCAGTCCACATGTGCAACGAATGTGGACGACGCTGCCGGTCCCGTATCGGGCTCTTTAGCCACCTCAAAACTCTCTAACATTGATGACATCCCTAATAGCTCATATAATTTTACCATAGCTGGATGATCGTCATACTCGAAACCAAGTGACAACAAAGTATAATAATATACAAGTAACATAAGTGATACAAATATGATATATAATAACAAGGTGGGGAGAGTGTGCGTGTGTGTGTGTGTGTGTGTGTGTGTGTGTGTGTGTGTGTGTGTGTGGGTGAGTGGGCGCGGAGTGGTTTTTGGTTGGTTGGGAGGGTGGGTGAATTTTTCTTCTCACTCAAGCATTGTGTGTGTGTGTGTGTGTGTGTACCTTCGGCTCATTAAAATTTACATATATTTCTAGCCCGAGCTTCGTGGAATACTAATTACTGGCACTTTTGAGGTTTCTCTTTGAAGCTCTCTTTTATAATCTCATCATCCCAGGGCGTCCATTGCCTCAGACCCCCGACGATTTCAACGATAATCTGCCTACCTAATCAACTCCCCCCTCGAGTCTTGCACCAGCTGAAGATCCTCCCACGTAACTCTTAGATGTTAGGTGTGTGTGTGTGTGTGTGTTGGGGGGGGCAGGGCTGAAGCATTTGTTTCTGTACACGAACTCTTCAACACCCTTGAGTTCGTTGACTTAACTTCGTGCGTACGGTGGCTGGTTAACTTAACCCTTGTGTACTATGTATTATACAGTAGTTAACTTACCCATTGAACACCTCAAGAATTGTGCTGATTCCCTTAATTACGATGACTTAAACTAATTGATCCTCTGTTCATCCGAGAATGTTTGCCCTCCACAGGTGTCACACAAACTAGTCAGGGTTGTCGAAAATACATTCAAGGAGTAGACGAAGCAGGCGAATAAGCCCAGTCCCCCTTTATTTTCACCAGGTGTCGTGGATCAGGCGCCGCGACTACCACATCCTCACCTCCGGCCTCCACGCCTACAGCAGGGATGAACGCTTCGGTGTGGTCCGTCCCCAGGATGATGATGACTGGGCCCTGCAAATTAAGTTTGTCCAGAAGCGTGATGAGGGCGCCTACGAGTGTCAGGTGAGGACATACACACACACACACACACACACACACACACACACACACACACACACACACACACACGCAAAGAACCTATATTAGAAAATTGTGGTAATATAATCTCTTTTTCTCTCTTACTTTCTTATCTCATTTTCCCCTCAGCCATATTAACCTCACCACCTCACCACACTCCACCACACACACACACTCTCCTCTCGCCAACTTTCTCAAGTCACAGAAGCCGTCTCCTTGTCTCTCATACAACGCCTTCACCGCCTGCCTTAATCCCGAGTTTTAAAACCTCATATATTACATAATTTATCCTGTGCACAAACAGCAGCTTCCATAGGTACACAGGTAAGGTATCACAGCTTTTCAGATATCTACTACCGGAGTATATCCTGAGAACTAAGAGCAATTTTTAATCCTAAGTAAGTAAGCAGTAGGCAGCTATCAAACAGGGAGGTACTACCGCCTGGGAAGATATTGGAAGAATAATTTGTTGTCTGATGGTAGACCCTGCTGCCATATGGTATCACACAAATTGTGACCAAGTCCCAGGTTGGTGATCTGACTTTCTGCTTCATTTACACAGAGTTGCAGGGTCTCAATTGTTTCTCTCATTATTGACAACGCAACATCATAAAATATCGTTTCTCACTCTTGATCTTTCTTTTTTTTATTATTATTATTATTATTATTATTATTATTATCATTATTATTATTATTATTATTATTATTATTATTATTATTATTATTATTATTATTATTATTATTATTATTATTATTATCATTATTATTATTATTATTATTATTATTATTATTATTATATTTTCGCACCCCAGTTCTCGATGTGGGTCAGTAACGTGTGCTAGGGTGAGCTAATCCCCATAATAAATTATACTGAGCGTGTTGACAGTCTCAATACCTGTAGTGTACTGGCTACCTGAAGAATGTGAATGTAATTAGAGAAAGTAAGATCCCAAATCATACACTGAGTAGAAAAACACACATATACACACCAGGCGGTCGTTTATGTTGAACAATTAAGGTATTATAAGAGAGTTTTCTAGGGTAGGAAATACTGTACATTAGTTTATCAACATTTAAGAATTAAGAGAGATTCATCCCTGGTCAGCCTCTAGCCTTCCCCTCCCCTAAACTCGAGTTACTGTAGCGAGTGGAATCTAAATTTTTCCGTGACCTTCACCTTTGATATTCATTTCAAAATGATACGCCCCAGTTGATGACCTCTGCCAGAGAACGTATTAGCGGATATGAGATGTCTTAAGGTCTCTTCACTCTTGAATTATGACTGGAAATGAGTTTTATGACGTTGATATTTGACCTTGGTTGACCTAGATCATATATATACGATTCTCAACACGAGAGTCTGAGTAAATAAATTAAGTTACTCATTTATGGACTGTGAAACCTTCAACCCAAGTCATATTCATCTCCTGCGAAGACTAACAGACAAACATCATGACAGACTTAATAACTTATAATGAGATCTTCAGAAGCAACTTGTCCAAATTTCTATCTGATGGTTTTGCCAAGTAAATATGATTGTTAGTGAGTTCTTGTAATAAAACATCTTCAAGTTGTTTTTTACTGTCCCAACAAAGTGTTGAATATGCAATGTCATAGTGTTTTGGAACTGAATAACACAAGCAACATTCCTGACATTGTTATGTTTTTGTTTTCAGTTTGTCAGTTTGGAATCATCAGAGCATATAATTCCCAAGCCTGAAGCAACACATACACGTTTACACATACATTCTTCTTTTTCACATTTACAGGTACACATAGACCTATATTATTTCCTTACACATAAACAGAAAAACAGACAAATGTTTTACGTGTATTAGATTTCTATTGGATAAAGAGGTCAACCAGCCCCCTACTCAGCTCCACAGTATTCTCCCTTCAGTCTCCCTCCTGAATGCGTGTCGCCGAATTTCCTGATTCCATCTACCCATCCTGGAGTTGACCTTTTTCTTGGTCGTTTCTTATCTACCAGAGGAATTCCTGGAAGTGATGTGTCCTGACAGTAGATTCTGTCCACTACCATATCAACGTCGTAAATCGTACAGTAATATCCCAGACTCTAGCGTTAGTCCTCACTACTCGGTCTCTCTTTCTGTAGTCGAAGGTTACTGATACATTGCATAAATACATATATCTTTGAGTAGCTTAGAGTTTCGGTATAATTTTTGCATTAAGAGTCGACGCGTTTTGTATCCATGACTGGTAACAAATGCTGATTGAATGATCGTACGTGTAGACAAAGGTGCTTGACGCAGGTATTGTACCTTTGATATGTAAGTCAGTTTTCTTATAATTCCTTCAGACATTTCTGGCAATAGTTGTGTAAACAGCTTTGGCGAAATGTGTCATTGGGTTACTCCGCTGTTGACCTCTAGTATTTTCGCTGACTCTCTGTTACACGATGGTTGACGCTGTTCCACACGTTGGTTCCTCAGAGAATTTAGGAAAGGCACTGTAATTATTGAATCAGAAGCCTTTCATCACACACTCACGACCCCAGAACATAATACACAGGTGGCTGGAGTCAAGAGAAACACACACACGCAGACTCTCTCTTCCTTCAGTCTAATTCTTTTCTTGTTACCATTAAAATAGATGTGTTGCTATACGTCCCTTCCACATAGAGGTAGGGAAATAACGACTTTTTTTACCTCTGTCTGTCTGTCTGTCTGTCTGTCTCTGTCTGTCTGTCAAATATCCAGGTTCATTAACATTATTCTTAATCTAAATTGTACAGTGATAGGAAATTACAATTTATTTTGAGAAACCACAATACAATCTATTGCTCGTAAAAAAAAAAACGATAATTCATAATACTGTAATTAGTCTTCCGTGTTAGATTATATCTTTCCGTGCCTGCTGTAAGTTAGGTGAAGTTTATGGAGAAACGCAGCCAAGAGGTTGTGGTGTGGCGTATCCTAATTCTTCCATAAGTCCTTCTTAACCACATTCCCCTCGGGCTTAAACCTCACGACACAACAAATAATACAGAACTGAGACATACCACTCCGGGAATAAATGACCTGAGATATGGAATTAACTGTGTTCCGACATAGTCAACTGAACATTAGAATACTGTAAAACAACTCATAGTAATTTTAGAACTCTTGTTTTACCATTGTGTGAAGTCATTTTGTGTATATATGGTATTAAGTATATATTTTCAACGCTTTCGGCCGTATACCCATAAAAGTAATGAAGAAAAAAACCCTCAAACAACAAAAATTTGAAGCAGACATTAGAAAAGGGAGGAGGCGGCGTGAGGTCCTATACCACGCAAACCACATCCCATTCACCGGCGTAATTGCATCATTTGTTGACAATTTTCTCCCGGGGAAAAACTTGAATTATGTCAGGTGGCTCAGAAAGACGTCGACGGAAGGTTTATTTTCAGACGTGTGTGTGTGTGTGTGTGTGTGTGTGTGTGTGTGTGTGTATAGGGTTAACATAATTTACGCATAATATTGATTCTTTTAGCTGAAGCAAGTACAAGAGTTCGGTTAAGTTTCTTGTGTTTCATTACTCTTGGTATGTTGGTGTTACCAGCACTACCCTCTGTAATGTAGTCGTGTCCACCTGCGTCGGCTCCTCCACATAACAAGCTAAAAGGCACAGCGGGATATTGGTGCTCATCACCCTGGCCGCAGTGTTATTAGTAGCGTCGCACAAGATTGCCATGCAAGGTTAGCGTCAACCATTGATCCTATTTTAATAAGGGTCAAGACGAGGTATATTTGACCTCTTTAGCAAGTGTCGTTGACATAAGTCATGTGGTTAGTACCATGACGGGCCTCACCTGCTGTTTAAGACACTGACTTCATGATCCAAGTGTTGACAGAAGGTGTTTGGCTCTTAGAGCTGACTAAAAGGATTAATTATATTTTGTTATAGTTCCATCTATACTTATATACAACTGTGAGAGAGTTATGAGAATTTTGCGTATCTATCAACCGTCAGCACAGTACTTGTCAGTTTTGTTTGTATATACTGTGTTAATTTATTAATATATGGGACTCTGACCAGGGCGTGTAGTCGCATTCTCCGTCACGACGCGTAGAAGGAGTTCCACCTTGGCTTTCGATTAAGACATGACTCGTGTAAGTCAGCTGACGAGCTATTCTTTCGTGTCACGTCTCAGTCCAGACACAAGACAGAGGCACGTAAGATACTACTTATCCCTTGATGGTTCCATAACCTTGATATTATTGGAACAATGAGTAGAGTCATCGCCCCGGTGCAGCGTTGCCACCTAACAGCGTAACACAGTGTTACCACCCCCTTACACCACAGCACAGGAGGGTACAACACAGGCTGTTCCGTTCTGTATTTTCTAAATGTTATTTAACTGAAGCGTAATGCAAGTTTAAGTTCAGTCTGTCCCTATTTGAAATTTGGAGGAATCAAGTTTGACATCCTCATTACTGTGACTAAAAGCTTCAACTTTATTTAATTCTGCCAGAGGCGAAAATCCACTGAAATTACATGGTCTAATTTGGCTTGGTTTGTTCCGCTGAATTACACCTGTAACTTTCTCATGTAAAGTCATGATTTAAGTTATAATTACAGCAAATTTTATCCCGCAACTAAATAGGATCGACTTCGCCAATTTCCAACTTTTTATACAGAATGGAAAAGTTGCAATGGTGACCGTGGTTAAGTCAATAAGAGCAGGAGGAAGTGCATGATAAAGACCATTTACAATTTCCCGGTGAGCGAATATATCTGGAACCATTTGGATGTGAACGAAATTTGTTATAGTAAATGATTGCTCTCGGGTTATTAACTGACACGATGTTTATTGTTATTAGTCAGAGCCCGACGTTGTGACATAGCGCAGGGTACGATGGAGAATGTGGACCAGGGGAGGTGGTTACTGCTGTGTCCGGCTGGTAGAGGTCTTTAAGTGCCAGACTCCGGTGTACTGATGTGATGATGTGTATAGTGAGTTAGTGATACACCACGCCTAC